CTTGAAATAAGCTACTTAATTTGTGTAGCTCAAATTGCATAGCTTATTTTGAGCTATCGGTGCAGTGTGGACACACCTGGAGAGAGAAAGTGGGATGTTTTTGTCCCTCACTTATAATGCAGTCACCCTTTGAAATGCATTTTCCTGAGGGTTATGCATAAAGATTGATAAAGCTCATTTCTGCTGTGTGGACAAAGACAAGCAGTCTGGCAGTGAAAGAAGTTCCATGCTGTTGTTTGCTAAGATGCAGATCTGTTTGGTGCTGCCTCCCTTCTTTGCCAAACAATGGCCCCTTGACAGTCTCCCATCAGCTTTGATGACTACCTGGCTAGATGCATCAGTTTGCCCTTCATCTTTAAGAAACAGGTCCCCCCCCCCAACTTGTCTGGCAAACATACTTCAGCCATGATTTCAGCTCAAGTTCATAATTTTACATATACCTGGGATGGGTGCAATGGCACAGATCAAGCAGGTAAGCTTAGCTTTAAGGTTTGTGCCCACCATTCATTTTTGGGCAGACTTCTTGCCAGTGTTGTCTTCAAGTTGTCATTGTCAAGTCCAAGTCGAGTCTCAAGTCACTACAGTTCGAGTCTCAAGTCAAGTCTCGAGTCCCTAAAGTCACTTTTGAGTCAAGTCCCAAGTCGAGGCCCACGTCTTAATTTAAAAAATGTCAAGTCACTTTTGTACAAGCCATCAATATCAGCATTTTCAGACAATTTTTTCACCAAGTCAATATAACAAAATTAGCAAGTCTCAAGTCGAGTCTCAAGTCACAAACAATGAACCCAAGTCGAGTCTCAAGTCGAGTCACCTAGGCGACTTAAATCGGACTCGAGTTCAAGTCGTGGGACTCAAGTCAACAACTCTGCTTCTTGCTGTACACGTTAAATGGCTACGTCTACACTGGCATGTGCCTTTGCGCAAGAGATGTGCTTTTGCATAAGAGCATCCGTGCCAGTGTGGACGCTCTCTTGCGCAAGAAAGCTCTAATGGCCATTTTAGCCATAGGGCTTTCTTGCACAAGAAATCTATGTTGCCTGCCTACACTGGCCTCTTGCGCAAGAACAGTTGTGCAAGAGGGCTTATTCCTGAGCCAGAGCATCATAGTTCTTGCACAAGAAGCACTGACTTCATACATTAGAATGTCAGTGTTCTTGCACAAGAACTCGTAGCCAGTGTAGACAGGGAGCAAGTTTTGGCGCAAAAGCAGTTGCTTTTGCGCAAGATCGCACCAATGTAGACACAGCCATTATGTAAATGCTTTCTTCTTTTCTGTGCCTCCCTTCACCAAAATAAAAGTGTCCTTTTATCCAAAGGGTTGTTTCTATATTTTCCATTTGTTGCTTTCACCTGTTGCCCAAATAAAGGGCCTTAAAACTTTACACTATACTTGCTGGAGACCTGATGGAGGGAAATGATAGTCATAGATGTGTAATTTACTTGGGCATTAGCTGAAACCCCAACATTATGTTTTTACTCATTCATCTCACCTGAGCCAGGCTCTGCAGAGTAGTGGTGGAATTGGCCTTCATCCTTTTGAAAACACACTGTTCATTTGGGCTCAAGAAAAGCCAGAGGAAACAGCCAGAGTTGCCAAAAGGTTCCATCTCCCATTACCTGCTTCGAGTTCCCTGAGTTCTCTATCTTCCCTCTCACCTCTAAATGGCTGTTGGCTAGATTGGTACCAGTGAACAGCTACCAGCTTTCACCTGCAATCCAGGCGTGTTTAAAACAGAGGAAAGATGGCCTAGGTTAAGGTGGTGACACGGGATATCTGTGGTCAATTTCCTGTTCCACCACAGACTTCCTCATGACCCCGGGCAAAGCACTTCCCCACTCTGGGCCTCAGTTCCCATCTGTAAAATGGACATAATAGGCCTGGCCCTGTCTCACTGGGGTGTTACAAGGATAGGAAAGATTGTGAGGAGCTCAGGTACTGTGGCAATGGGGGCCAGATAAGTATCTAAGACCATATTTTATCAGCAGTGCTAGGTCTTGGTCCTATTTGTCTAGCATTGTAATGGCTACCTCCTGCAGTAGTTTTCTTTTGGGTTGTTCATGGCCATGTAGGGAGAAACTATTCTGTTGTCTGATATTTTTAAAGCAATATACAAAAAATTTAAAACAAATTTCCAGTGACTTCAGCCGGAGCAGGTTCCGGCCCAGCTTTAGTAACACTCTTTTCCGGGTGTATCCTAATCATCATTCTACAGGAAACTTGATTTGTAGGGCCAGGCAGTGAAAGGTACTAAATGCCCTCAAGTCCTATCTGACTTCTTCAATAGTAGCTGAGGGTTCATCAGCTTCCAGCCACTGGCCTTGAAAACAACTCAGGTTGAACTCAGTGGACATTTGGACACTGACTTTAATGGGACCAGAATCAGAGCCTTCATTTACCCCAACAGGCATTAGATCCATTTTGAATGAGAGAACAATGAATCCTTGCATTGCAGAGGAAAGGGATTAATATAGTTTGCCAGACACCTCCACACAGTACACCAGCTCTCCCTATGCTTTGAGATTATTTTAGCTAGTTCTTATGGACCTTTTTCTTTAGGTTGTTGCTGGCGTCATCCAAGATTTTTCCTGTACTCAGTCCTGCTGAGAAACATTCCCAAAGCAGGAGTGGTGAGCTAATAGAAGCTGCCAACCCTCCATTAAAGCATTCCTAACTCCCCATAAACACTGAGTCATCTATGAAGGGAGGAGATCATCAGGAGCCCACAGGATGGTGAGCAGTTTCAAGGACCACACAGGTCAGATGACAGTGACGTTAGAAGCAAGCACAGCAATTAGATAACTGGTAGGTTTGGTTAGACAAATATTTAATAGGACATGTCATAACATGATATTGATCTGAGGAAGTGGGTCTGGCCCACGAAAGCGCATCACTTAATAAACCATCTTGTTAGTCTTTCAAGTACTACATAGTTCTGTCTTTTGTCATAACATCTGTTAGTGTGTTCTGATCACCTCATCAATGCATCAAAAGAAGTCTTACATGGCACCTCGGTATTTAGGGTCAGAATTAAGGCAGACAGTAGTTGCTGAGGATGAAGGTAATGCTGCTTGGGATGTGGATTGTGGAAAGGAGCTGGCAGCAAGGTTGAAAAGGGGAACTGTTGGCCAGAGCTTTTGTGGGTGGTGTTGAAGGACTCATCTTTCCTAGCTGTGTGGGGTCTGCAGTTGTAGGAAGTTTTGCCTGAGAATTTCCCAGTTTTTTAGATGACTGAACAGCAACAATTCTTCACTTGTATGGCTAGGAATGCAGTTGTGTATTGATTCCTATGCAGCCTGATGGTTGCCTATGCAATCATATTCTTGTATTTCCCATCACGGAGCCCTATTTCCCCTCCACAGTAACCCCACTGTCTACCTCCAGCACACTGGCCCTCCTGCCTTCAGCACCTCCGCATTGCTATACCACAGCATATTCCAGGCCCTGCTGTTACGCAGGGAGAACTTTGAGATGCCTCAGACTCAGTGATTTACTGTTGCTGTAATCAGGATCAGTGCAGGCCCCTTTGTGTCACAGAGAGCTGCAAGAACAATGGGTTGGCAGCAGGAAAGGCAAGTCTGAATTCAGGACCCTCCCATGAAATCCCATTCTAAAGCTTTTGCCTTCTCACAGCAGGAAGTAATAAACTATCCTACTGGCTGCACTTCTCCTGCCACTGAAATTCCAGATCAATAGTAGGACTAAATAAACAGACCATGGGCTACTGTGGCTATGGCCTATCAGGTGGAAGATAGCAATTCTAGCCTCCAAACAGCATTACAGTCACTGCTCCACTAACAGCGGCCTTAGTTCTGCTTTTATGCTTGCTCATAGGAGTCTGATAACAAGCAGATAGCGCTGAGGGACACACTGACAGACACCAACCAACCAAGCCCCCATCTACTGAAGAAGCTTGTATAAACCTGGATCTAATCTCAAACTGTGCCCCAATTTTCTTATAGTTCCAGCCTGGGCTGGAAGTGGGAGCAGTAGAAACCCCAACTTTTGCCAGAGACAGCTAAAGTAAGTTTAGCTATGGCAAAATCTAAATTCTGCCACTAAATATAGACAGGGCATGACACTGTGAAAGAGTGGATAGCTGTTGGTATACGTGAGTGCTCTGGTGAAGCTGGAGGATGTGTTTTAGTACGGTATCTAAACATATAGCGACTGCTCATTCCTGCCCAAGGTCAAGGTCCAGCTGAACGAGGAAAACTCATCTCCCTCCACTCCAGGATGCACACTTTTTCTAGTCTCCACTCACTTTTAGTCTTACATCAGGCAGCTTGTGCCCCCACACCTCAGAATTGCACAGAAGCAGTTTGCTTCTGTGATCTGGGAGACGCTCAAAAGGAAAGGTGAAGTGTGTTTTGCAGCTTTCTGCTCCTGTTTACATCACAAGTTATGGAGCGTCCACTGCATGTGGGCAAGTCACTGGAGGGTTCAGGATCCTGCAGAAGTTTCAGATTAGTACAAAGAACCGTAGGTCTTTTGACTGCTTATTACAGACTTCACCATCGTCTAGATCACATCAAGAAATCCTGACTAGAAGAGGCATCCATGACAACTGCATGAACCATCCTGACTTCCATTCATAGTCACTTACCATAGCTGGGGTAATTGCTACCAGTTACTTTGCTGGGATCACCTGTCCAGGTAAGCAAGGTAGCAGTTGCTACTTTCTAGTGCTTGTTTACTTCTCCCTTCTTAATAACAGAGTCAGCATCAAGAGGATAGCCAGCAGTTAGAAGACCCACCTCCACACCCTTGGGAAGCACTGTTAGAGTACCCCTTTTAATTCATGTAATTTTCACATACATGGGAAGAGACCCTACTTCAAATACCTGCCCAGTACTTTAAAGCATATGTTATGCCTCTTATGTGTGTTCTCACTCCAAATTAGATTGTAAACTCCCAGGGGTGGCTTCTAGAGCCAGTTCAGCCTTTGGGTACTACATGAAGAGGGTACACGTAATAGTTTGAAAAAATAAAAAAACCGGCATTTTTAAAAGTTTAACACATTTATTTAAAATACAATTTATAAAATGTTTTTCTGCATACTTAGGAGCACTTCCATGGGGAGACAGGCAGCTGTGTGCCCTATGGCAGACCCACACCACTTTGCACGTATCTGAATATACACACGCACACACACACACACACACACACACACACACACAGAGGAGAGAACCATAAAGTGCTCCTAAGAACACACACAAAAAACCCTATAAACACGTATTAGAACAAGAGCTCTAGCCCCTCTGCAAACAGGGCCTTTGACTTATCCCAACACTGATTTCTGGACAGGATCACTGACCTACTGTCCATCTGGAAGAGGGGCCTAGTGGCAGGTTTCTCCAGGAACGTTGCCCCCCCCCGCCTGCAGGTTGGAAGCATCCTGACTGACCATGCTATACAGATGACTATGTTGGAGAGGGGTGCTCTGGTTAGCTCTCCCCACATAATCTTATTAGTTGTGTGAGGTTGATCTTAGAGGACCAGATTTTGTCCTATGAGCAGCTAGCAAGGTCTTTAGACCCCTAGTAAAGGATATCAGGTGGCAGAAAATGGATACTGTTGTCCTAACATTGGCAAGATATCTGAAGCTACATCAAGAGGCTTTTGCCAGCAGTTGGCCATCCAAAGGAACAGCTATTTTAATTATCAATTAAGGAAAGGCGTGGTGACTACACAATTATTGCTAATGTCTTTTCCCATCCTCTTCTCTTCTGCCCACCCACATCCGGCTACTCCTCCCCATCAGTTTCTTCTTACTTCCATGAAGAAGATATTTCCTGTGAAGCAGCTGATGGTGGCTTATCCAGGTACACATGCAGCACATTTCAAGCCCTACTTGAGAGGAAGTTAGGTAAATATCAGATTACAGTCTTATAAAGCCACAAGGACTTGAGCCCAACTGCAGGGCTACTGGAACATCAGTACACCTGTGCCCACCTCTCTATTACAGCAGAGTAAAAAAATGTAATCCTTTAACAAGCATTTCAAGGGCTCACTTGATTTAGGGAATCAGAGGGGCAGGACAGAAAAGAAATTCAGTTAAAAGATCAATGTTTAGTAGATTTCATCTTTTGTACACAGGTAGTTTATTTTACCAGTTATTTGTTTACTGTATTTCTGTACATGTCTTGGTTTACTGTATGGGGTGAATCCCATACAACTCACTGTAGGCAGAAATTCTGTACAGCTGCTTCCTTTCACGCAAAAGTGGATGGGTTCAGGTGCTCACTATTCAACCAATTAAGCACAAACTGCGGCCCATATAATATTGCACCAGTACAGAATACAACCTTCAAAAATCAACTGTGCAGAAAGGCAGCTCCTGGAAACACAGTGAAGCAGACTAGCCCATGGTCATTTTAGGTGAAGGGACATCTAAATCCTTCTTGACCTCTAGCTGCTGACACTGAAAGACAGTGCGTTTCTGTACCACACAGGCTGTCTACAGTAACTTGTTCTATCAATATGCTGAGACACCTCTAGTACTGGAGACTTTCCAGCATACAAAATACATTCTTGTTGCCCCAGCAATAGGAAACTTTAGTGTTCATCTAATTCCTTGAAACAGTTAACATCGAGTTGCTCAGCTTTCCTTGTTATCTAACAAACAGTTAGACAATGCATCGAGACAGTATGGGTACAGGAGAAGCCACGGAGTAGCTGTATATGACAGGCTTGCAACAGCTGATTTGGTGGTACCTTAAATTTCTCTTCCATGGCCCGGAACCATTCCTTAGACCCCTTTTTTGGGGGGGCGGGGCTGGAGGCCAGAGCTCAGCGGAAAACCATTTGTTACCACCAATGCATGAAAACAGGGATTTTTTTTTCAAATTTTATTGAACATGGGTTGTTCCCGATGTCTATGATTTCGGGAAGTAAATGCATCCAATACAGCACTGGAATTGTACCATAAGCCATCGGTCCATCACAAGCCACTTAGGGTTCAAACCTTTGGAGCAGTGGTTGCCCAGCCTCCTGCCATATGTAGCTCTCTGACAAGCACATGCTTCACAGAGGTAGGCTCATTACTATGGTTTCCATGCACTGACCGGACTGGACCAGTACAGCACTGAACTAGTCTACTCTTAGCTTGTAAACCTAGACGCAACAGAGCCCTGTTCCTTCACCCTGCTCCCTCTGCTGGAAGCAGCAGGTGTCGCCGTGGGATCTAGCTACATTCCCTTCTCCCCAAACACAAGAAACGTATTGGATTTTTCCTCAAGCCAGCAGAAAACTAGCCATGCTTATGACAGGTGCAGTAAGGGAACTAGGCCACTGGACTTCACTGGTTTCTGGGGCCAAGGCAATTAGAAAGCCCAGGTACCTAGAAGTCCCCTTCCATTTGATTGGCAGCAGTGGAAATACAGAACAAGAAGCTAAGCTTGCCAAACCCTAGCCATTATAGTGTGGAAATTCATAGAAACTCCTTTTTTTAGAACACTATCAACTACCTCTCTCCATTAAAACAAACTAAACAGTTAAAACCCTTCCCATGCACTTGTTTTAAAGTTGATCTCAATTACAAACAAAAAACAGAAAGCTCCTTTGAAACAGAACTCGCTCCTAAGTGAGAGACAACATGCACGTTTGGGGAGGCCATTCTTCTTTTCAATTCCAGGTTAATGAGTATGATAAACATTATTGCTGGCGCTAGCTTCAACTGAAGTGGCACACACGACTCTCTGCACCTGTTCAGAGTCCTTAATGTACCCCCCTTCCTTTTACAGTGACTTGGGACAGCCCTCGTCGGTGTGCCAATCACAGTGGGTGGAGCAGGGGGTCACAGTGCATGGGGTTCAAGGTCACAGTGGGCAGAGCAAAGGGATCACAGTGCAAGTAAACCAAGTAGTTCCCTCTGCTCAAGTCCATTTGTCCACCACGGCAGTGCAACCCGTGGCAGCTGACCCTGCTTTCGACAGCATGATCTCTTGCTCAGATCTATCTGCGTTGTTTGAAGCCTTGTGAACCATCAGGACCTAGTGGCTGCCGTATCACATTATTGGGCTGCCTGGAATCTTCTGGCTGGGAAATCCTTGTTGGCCTGCAGGAAAGAAATCAGTCTTAGAAAATAGTAACACGGCTCACCCCATGCAATTGTAACTAAGGCTTCGTCTAGACTGCAGGCTTTTTGCGCAAGCAGCTTTCTTCGGAAGAGATCTTCCACAAAAACTTCTTGCGCAAGAGAGCGTCCACACTGCAAAAGTGCATCGAAAAAGCGATGCGGTTTTTTCAAAGCGAGCATCCAGACTGCCCGGATGCTCTCATGCAAATAAGCAGTGATTGCTATGGACAAAAAGGTATTCCTCCTCGTAGAATGAGGGTTACCAATTGCGCAAAAAGCCCGCTGATCTTTTCATTTACTTGCGCAAAAATGTGTTTGAAGTGTGGATGCTCTGCAAGCTTTTGCGGAAAAATGGCTGTTTTTCCACAAAAACTCTGGTGTAGATATAGCCTAAGAGGGAATTTTTCCATCTTTCAGTGGAACATCACAGCCCTGGCTAAAGAGCTATTGACAGCGCTGCACTCTCCAAACCTCAAAGACAACTGAGAATTAACAGTGCTCAACTTCTCCAAGCCCTGCTCTTCAGCAGCCAAAACCCTGGGGAACTTTGAAGTACAAGTCACTACATGCTCCAGAGTGCAATCATCCTGCTCTGGTTTTGTCACCAACACCTTTGTTCACTGACATTCTTTAGGAACATATTACGTCTTTTTTTTTTTTTTTTTTTTTTTATAAAGAAAGCCATTTCAACGGTGTACCTTTTCCCACCCAAGGCAGCATCCATTTAAAAAAAAAAAAAAAAAAAAAACCTAACACCCACAACCTCTCCCACCCAATTTCTTTGGAAAAAAGCGGCTGCTCTATTCAAACAGGACTCCAGGTTAAGCCAAGGTTACGTTTAGTTAGAGAACACACTAGGGATGTTAAATTTCGATTAATTAACTAATTGAATAGTCAATGGGATTTCCATCACCTGTTCAATTAGTTGATAAACATTTCAAAGTGGAATGCAGAAGTTCTTAAATCAGAGAAATGCCTTTGAGGACAAAGCCTTAAAAGCCCACATATGTAAACACCTTTTCTTACAATAAACATTTGCTTTCATTTCTGTGCATCTGAGCTACATGTGCACATCTGCTAAAGCAGTATTTCTCAACCAGTGGTACGAGTACCCTTTAGGGGTACTCAAGAGACATCTCCAACTGAAATTTGGAGAAAACTGAATTTTTGTTTTAAGTTTTATAGCATTTTATTATTTTTACACTTTTTCCACCCAAAAAATTTCATTTCCCGCCTGGCTATGATTAAGTTGTTTAAACAAATGTGTTGCAATGGTAGAAAAAAATTGTGTCTGAAAACTGTAGCTACTGGGGCTACTTTTTCTTTTTTTTTTTTTAAAGGGGAACTTTATAACAAAAAGATTGAGAAACACTGTGCCCCAGCTCTCAGTGGACTTTATCCTGCTTGTCATGTGAAATCATAGGTATTGGTATAGCTTCTCTTCTCTCTGGAGGACTACTATCGGTCATTTGCCGAAGCAAGAGTTAGATCAGAGACATGCTAGAATTGCCATTATGTGTCAGCCACTCACCTGTCTAGAATGGGCTTCTCCTGTTCCTCTTCTGGGCTTGCGCTGCCCAGAATTCGTTTTCTGGCTTCTGCGTACTCTGCCTCTCTCTGTGCCAGAGACTTGACGGGAAAAGCTGGTCTGCTAGCAGAGTTGGGGTTACTAAGCACACCGTTAGTCGTGGGCCTCTTTAATATCCTGATCTGTGGAGGAGGACCTGAGGGAAGGCTGTCGTCCTGAATGACAATCGGCACTTTGGGAGGAGATTTTGATTTTCTGCTATTTAAGAAAAAAGACAAACATTTAATTAGTATCTGGATCCCACTGGCAAAGTGTTATCTGCTCTGAGCAGGAGCTCTGCCAGATGGATACCATCTTCATGACTAGCCAGTGTCATGCAACAATTAAAGATTTAGTTATAATTATATCATCAGACGTTTAGACTTTTTTCCTCAGGGTGAAGGGGGAGAGAAGAGAAGGGGAGATGTGGGGGTAACGGAAGGAGGAAGATGTAAATTGGATGTATATCACTGAGAACAGTGACAAGGGATATATCTGTGGCAGCATGGGATGAAGAATGAACATTCCCCCTATGTAACCAGCCCAAGCCTGAATACAGCCACAAAAGTTTCACTGACACACAGCACAGGAAGTCAAAAAAGGGTTGGTACATGAAGGGGTTACTTGGCTTTAACCCATCTCTTCATTCTACTCCCAGTTTTGTTTTGGTATTTTAAAATGGCTTCCTTCTATCTGCTCTTGAATACCCCACTTCAGAGATCAAATTTTCCCCAATGATCTTTCAGCTACACTGCCATGCATTAGAGTTAAGAACATAAAATTGGTCATACCGGGTCCGACCAAAGGTCCATCTAGCCCAGTATCCTGCCTTCTGACAGTGGCCAATGCCAGGTGCTCCCAGAGGGACTGAACAGTCCAGGTAATCATCAAGTGATCCTACCCATCGTCCATTCCCAGCATCTGACAAACAGAGGCTAGGAACACCATTCCTACACATCCTGGCTAATAGCCATTGATGGACCTGTCCTCCATGAATTAGCTCAAAGTGGAGGTTAATTACCCACTACATTTGATGCATCTAATGTAATTACCCTACTCTACCAACTCTCTGAACCTGCAAGCATCTAACTCCAGGCAGGGGAGCCTTTCAGACCAACATCTCACCATTACCTTTCCTTTTGCGTAATCTTCAGTTTCTTTTCCAACCGTCTATCTATTTCCTGTAATGGGTGTGAGAAAAACAGTGTGAAATCTCTGAGTCTACTAGAAGACACATTTCTTTAGCCGTAATGTAAAAGTGAGACAAGACTCTTGCTTGCTTGCAAATCACAAGACACTAATCTGAAAAATGCCTTGCATTAAAGGGTCACGTACATTTCACTATATTCACTGATATTTGCAGCAGGGAAATTGCAAAGCACATTTGGGATCTATAATAATGGCTTTTGTAATGATTCATGGCGATAGAGTGGCAGCTTTAAAAAGTTAATCTAAATGGAACAGCATCTTTGATCCCACAGGATTCCCCAAACACGTAAGCCACCGGTGAAGCATCAAGTGAGATGTGACTGTTTAACAACCAGAGTTACACTTAACAGTTCTGCGCACTATTCACTGTGTTGAGGAAAAGGAACATACAACTGAGTGTCTCTGGTCCAGTGACGTTGGGACGGACCACTGGGGTAGCTGCAGCTGCTTGATTACATCATGCAAGTGGTAACTAGTAAGGCTCAAGGAAGTTCCAGCCCTCAGCCAGAGTACCTCCTTACAAGTTCTCAGCCCATCTGCTAGATTACAAAGCTATTACATGAACTCAACTCATAACCAGAACCACTGTGAGAGCTTGATCTGAAGGAGAGAGGCTGTCTATATTGCCATCACCAGCCACACAAAAGCATTAACAGTCTATTTTGCCAACTGCCATTCATGCAGCTAACCGGGGTTTGCGTAGCTATTCCCCATTGTACCAAGAACAGGGAAGAAATGCAAGTGCTAAGTTGCTAAACAATCCTACCTGATACTGTATACATATGGTTTACTATTGATTGTGTGGTTCTAGAGCCACCAGCCAGAGCACCCTCTAGCCAAAAGCTCAAGTGACTAGATTGAGATTTGTAGTAGTAGTACCAGATGGCAGCTTCATAATGTTCCACTGAATTGAGAGTTCAGAAGCCACAGTATTCTGGTGGTGCAAACTTTGATTTTAACTCAAAAAAGGCAATGAGTGGTTTGGTAGGTTTTTCAATTGACAAGTTAAACCAAAGTTAAGCTGACTAAGACATAGTTCTAGGCACCTGCAACCTCTTTTAACCTCAAAGACTCCTAATACTCTCAGAAAAGTTAACAAGCTGAAATGCCACAAAAAAGTTTACAGGTGCATGTATTAGGGATGTAAGCGACTAGTCGACTACCCAATACCCGATAAGCATATGCTTATTGGGTAGTTGAGTAGTGACTAGACTAGTTGCTTCCCCTCAGAGAGAGGCAGCAAGGAGGAGAGCAGGAGCTGGTGTTAGGGGGAGCTGGTTTAAAAGCCAGTTCCCCCAGCCTCGTTCAGGCCTGCGCTGCTTCCTGCGGCTCCCATTGGCCAGGAACAGCAAACCGCAGCCACTGGGAGCTACGCTGGGCCATGTCTGCAGACGCTCAACTGCTTTGTGGCCTGCCAGCAGACAACCTTGATAGGCCAGGAGCCAAAGGTTGCCAACCCCAGCTTAAGTGGGTCTGCCATGGATTACTGTACCAAGATTCTGTACAACAGAACTGATGGTAGAAGAACCACCTTTATAGGGCTGCTCTCTCCCACCATCCCTCTTATTTCTGTGTTCTATTTCTTTCCTCCACATGACTTCTTGCAGTGCAATTCGTTGGTCAATTTCAGGACTCCTCACTAGTCCACTTCTAAAGGATGAAATGGCAATATAGAATCAGCTTTCCCCTGCTGTTATCGCCCTCCTACCCTTTCCCTCCTTGTCACACCCATAATCCTCACCGGTGTGAGGGTTCTAACTTGTCTTGGTAAAACCCCTGACGTTTTGCAATTCATGTCCTGTTATGAGGAGATATTAACCATATCTTTTCCCTTGAAACTAACCAACATGTCAGGCAGGCACTCCTGACCTTTGTTAGGAATTTGTTTTTAAATTAGATGTTGCTATATTTTGAACTTGTGGTAAGAAAATTCCAGTTTAGTTTGCAGAATGGTACCTATTCAAATTGTGTGGCCAATGTGCTGGGCAGTGTCCCCTAAATGGCCAGCAAAATAATTCATGACATTAGTGACCACTCTTCCACATGTCTAATAGTCCATAACACTGCATGCATGTAGGGCTTGAAAAGCTGATGAACCCCATGAACCATGGTCACCACCTGGAAACTGAAACACGATCACTTTAGGGGTTCACAGCAGTTCCTTACTCAACCAATTTCATCTACTAGATCATATGCTGCGTTGGGTCACTGAGCTATGCAAGGTAACACATTAAAGTTAGGGTCTAACTTATGGCCCTTAAGTGCCAGAAACACAACAGCAACTGGAAGGCACAAGCTTACACAAGAGGAAGACTTACTATAAAATATCATGTGGCATATACTCTAATTAGCTGGGTTGGTCATGCTGCACAAGATCGATGCTATTAGTCTTTTAAGATTATTGAACTCAATTATGGGAGGATACCTCATCTTCTTGTTTCCTCACTACAAATAATGACTTCCTATAAACCAGGTTTACATAATAGTTAAGCAAGTTAATTTACATTCCTCCTTTCCCCCGCAAAGGGATCCATGAATAGATTACTAAATTTAGTAAAGAATTCTCAAATGCTGGTTTTGTCTCAGTCTTTTTTTAAGATTCAAGATAATCCAATGGAAAGCAGTGTTTTGCTTATGCTTTGACGTTAAAAGCCTGTTGTGAACAGGGGCTAACAGAAGCTGTATACTTATTATGAAGTTAGTCTTTAATATCAACATTGCCATCCATTTGTATTAAAGACAAATGCTACAAATATCAAGATCAACTGAAAAAATAATGTCACATCCACCATGAGGGAGCCATTCAGAACAAAAGGCAAACCCACCACCACTAACGTCTAGTCACTTTGTTGAGATTTCTATTCACAGGACTAGTGTTATGTATGGATGTGAAAGTGTAACATGCACAGTTACACGCAGCCTATGTATCAGAGGCAGCAGCATGGGGGGGGCACCCGAGGTGAGAGCTGATGCTCATCTCCTCCATGTAACTCCTGAGCGGTTACACATTTACTTGAATAAACGCATCTTAACATCCCTACTTTTATGCAGCATGTATTAGAAGGGGGAGGGGGGCGCCAACCCATTACAAAGAGCAAAAATAGTGGTAGATACAGTGCAAAGAGCCAAGGGAAAGAAGTTGTTGAGCAAAAAAGCCAAAAAAACACTGCTCCTTTAATAGCCATGTGTGGCCCAAGCAGGCTTCCGTTGGCCATAGCATCAGATCTCGCTACCCCAAGTGGCGCCCTGCCCAGACAAGGAAAAAAAGGTCAGAGCAGGGGAACACAGAACAGGTTCGGGAGCCAAGCCGCGGATGCAGAAGCCTCAGTTTTTCCTTTGAAGAGCTGCATGTGGCTCGCGAGCCGCAGGTTGGCCACCCCGTATTAGAACAAGGAGATGAAGGGAATTCATCTCCAAGGCAACCCAGAGATACACATTCCAGGCATCTTTTGGTTGGAGTTGACATCTAGTTCTGCACTGAACTGGGGATGTAATTGGAGAACCATGTCTACCTGGTATTTGTGGTGAAGACATGGAAAGGGAGATAAGCAAGAATTAGTGTATCATGAATAGCTTAAATCAGAGGTGAGCAATAATTTTCACAGGAGAGCCACTTAATGTATTTTAGTACATGGTCACGGGCCGGTTCCACTCTGGATGGGATGAGGACTGGGAACTAGTCTCCCCCCCAGAGCTGTCCGGAGCCAGAAGGTTTAAAGTAAAAAAACATAGCAAAGGGCTTGCGTATCCTGGCCCAGGCACCCAGGACTGCTGTGGCTATTTAAAGGGATCAACTGCTGAGGTAGCATCACAACTGGGAGCCCTTTAAATACACACTGCAATCCTAAGTGGCTCCCGGAGAACTCAGTAGGGGTGGGGCCAGGATCTGCAAGCTCCAACCCCTGCCAGGGTAGCTTCACAACCAGGAGCGAGGAGCCATTTGAATAGAATCCTGAAGCCTGAGCCACTACCTGCAAATTTGGTGGCATGCACAGCAGAATATAACAAAAAAGCGGTCAGATGCAGTATATAGGTTGGATCAGGCCCCTGGACCACATCTTGCCCAGCCCTGGTTTAAATTGAGGTTGAGTCCTCATCTAGTTCTTCTGTTGTCAAAATATAGCAAGTGAAGGAAATTCCCTGAAGTTCCCTAGTGGCAGAATTTCCAGAAAATAAATGATAATTTGAAAATAATGATAATTTGCCTTATTTTTGAAGATTTTTCTGTACATGTACAGTGTTTATATTTCAGATGTACTGTTCTGTGTCTCTTGCACAGGCTATAATTTTTTGTTAAAATTAGCGCTTAATAAATTAGATGAGTTCCAGTTAGGTCTAAAATAAAGCAGAATGTTCAGTTCTGGTAACCTTGGATATTAACATTACAAACTTTTCTTTCCCCCAGTTAGTTTACTTTATGAATTGCACATTGTTTTACTACAGTATTTCTCCTGCATAGTCAATTTCTCTCTTACTGAGAAGCTCCTTATGAACAAGGGAACAGAAAAAACCAGGCAATATTCTCATAAGATTTTCTTTCAGAAAGGGAATAATTTGGGTGTTTTTTTTAAAAGTTGTTCTTTCCTTCACTTTAAGGAATATTAAGGAAAGAAGTTTAGTGTGAGCATCCTTGGAACACGTGACTAACAGAAGAATTAGTAACAATCTTAACCTCAAGAACTGGATTGGAATTATTTTGTGGAAATAAATAAAATTTACAAGCGAAAATGCCAAACTTCCATATTGGTGGAGAAGACTAATAGTCACTAATGAGAGAAATATTATGCCACGTTAAAAACACTGGAACATTTTGGAGTGATGGTTCGCAGCTGTGCCCCTGTCTGTGCTTTGTATAAGTTAGTGAGGAACACTACCCCTCCCCTAAATCCTGCTCACTTTCCTCACTTGAGTAATCCCATTTGAGAGTGAATATACTGAGTGGGATTGGGCTTTATGAGTTATGTCCCTCAGCAGCAATGTTAAACAAGGTCCTTTCTACTTAATTTTAAGGAAGCAGTTAAAGTTCTACTGGCATTTCATGAAGAGTAGAGGGATAACTCTGAAGACCTGGCTAGTACCCTTTACTTACTGAGAAGTATCATGTAGCCGTTCAATCATCAATATCCAACTTATTGCTTTATAAGATGTCCTGGGATGCCCTTGAGCATGAAAGGCATTAAATACAACTAATTTCAAGATGTGTAATTTGTTTCCCCAATTAATTTCTCTTCTCAGAAACTCAGAGGGGCAACGTCTGGGACTGGGTGCGAGCCGGGAAT